TCTGAAAAGTTGGAAATGATGGAGCTTTTTGGAAGTGATAAAGCTGGTGATAGTGAGAAGCAAATTGGGCTCAAGTACAAATGTTTGCTATATATATATATATGCCATCACCTCATGGAGCAGGGGAAAATAGTCCTACTCTGGGTTGTTTGAAATATTGAGTTTCTTTCTAAGCACAACACAGCCAGTTTATCAATATGTTTTTGGAAAGAGTTCAGAAAAGATGTCAAAAGCTATTGGGGAGCTGATAAAATAAGTGATTTATTAAAAAAAAAAAAAAAAACCTCTAAAAAAACGCAATACATATTTAAGCTAGGGTGCTGTGGAAGTTTGGGTTTAATGTTTAAAAGTAGACATATTCAGCTTGGATAAATCTTGAGATGCAAAGAATAGTTCACAATGGAGGGTGACGGAGACTAAACTTGAATGCCAGAGACATGAGAATACGAAGTACTACTGAAGATATTTTCATTTTCAAGCAAGAAGTTTCCTTTGGTGACTTGTACTTGAAGATGAATAAGCAGGAAGAGACAAGAGATGTGTTGAAAAAGATGGGGAAGCAGTTAAGGGAGAAGTTAGGTGCTGGCTAGAACTAACTTTTAATTGCTTTAAAAGGAGATGGTGAGCTGCCACTATAACTGTTATGTTTGTCTGCTCCTGTAGAGAAAAAAGCAAGTTTTAATCACTGTATATTTAACTCTGACTGAAAAATAGGTAAAATTGCAACTGTTTTGCTATGTTTGTTGTCACTATGTGAGCAGGGAGACGTAAGAGTTGCATCATAACCACTTACTGGAAATATTTGTTAGTAATACAGTTGTTGCGTGTGTCTCACTTTAGCAAAATACAGTATTGCCCCCATTAGAGGTATTGCACAATTAACTGGTTAATTGCTCAATTACCTTGAGACCAGATACATGTGAAAAGTAACAGTCACACCATAAAAAGCTCCGACCAGGTGTATAGACCTTGAAAATGTGTACAGACTTTATAGGTGGTCGTTATTGAGCTTTAATTTACACGTGTAGCAGGGTCTCTCCTGCAGCTTCAGGGTCTCCCCTGCAGTCCCATAGTTGAGGGGACTCTCAGCCCCAGCAGCTGTGGACTCTGGGTCCTGGCAGCACCCCACAGCTGCTGGGACCCAGAGTCCTGCAGCTGTGGAGGCTGAGTCCTCACAGCATACCCAGCACCAGGACCC